TTGCATTAAAATTTCTACCGCAATTAATTTTTCGCACATTTTTATAGCTTAAGAATTTCCTTTATATGATTTGGCTCAAGCTTTACTACATATTTCATGCAATCATGGCAGACTCAGCGATTCCCAATGGCAGCCCCCTTTATGTAGCTTAATATACAAGTTGTCATCCCTTGCAAACTGGAAATAATAATTTTCATCTCGATGGTTTATTTAGTATGTGCTGCATATGTGTGAAGTATGTTAGAAATGTCTACAGCTGATTTTGACAGGCACTTTATCGCTAGCCAAATGTCTTGAAGACTCTTTAGCACTGCTGCTCTGATGCCTGGGTGCCCCTCATTGTGGTAGCAGCAACAGCAGCAGTAGCAGCAACCCTTTCGTTCACTTTATTCAACTGCAACACGTAGTAGAGTGCAACGCTTTGGTCTTTGGACATTTCGCATAGCTCACGCCTATGAAAAAACGTGCAAGATTTCAAGAAATTTCTTTCTTTGCAATACCCAAACCACAGAATGTGAACCCTTTCAGAGCCATTGACACTGGGGAGCTATACGCGCTTTTGTGCGAAAATATGCAATTGAAATGTTAAATAAATAAAGGCGTAAATACTTGAAGGGCAAAGCAGCGACAAGGCACAACATTCAAATGCTGTTGTGTTGGACGTTATGGATATACATATACATGTGAATGTATGCGTACAAATAGTAAAAAAAAAAAAAAATAAAAAAATAATAATAGCAAAGTTAGGTTTGTCGAATTTTGAATACACTTAAAGTGAATTGTTAATAAAAAAAATTTATAATTCCTTCATTTATGAAATCTATATATTACTTATAATTCGGAGTTCCATGACATCTATGTAAAATACTTTAGTATTTTGACTGAATATGTGTATATAAATTTATTATTATTAAATATTATTCTTTGAGTTAACAATATTTTGAGTAGATCAATTTATTATAATACTAAAATATAGGGAAATATAATATAAGTATAATAATAATATATATTAAAATTTCGTAATATACTTTTATAATACTCAAAAGTTAACTAATACTAGGAATATTCTCCTTTTGATAGATGTTAAAGATAGAATCAAATGAAATATCTCTACGAAATTTCATAACTTCATTAGCTAGAGGCAAGTTAACGATATTTAATTCATTTTATTATACATCATCTGAAACAAGCATATGTACCAATATCAATGCAGCTATGCCCAAGGAGATCGCTGTTCACAAGGACAACTATTCAGAGTTAGAGCAGCACAATTTTAGTTTTCTAATTAAAAATCAACTTTATTTCGCCCTAGCCCTCTGGTTAAGCGTTACACATTTCTCGACAAATTTATAGTACTCCATGTGAAGGGGAGCTACAGAAAAAGAAGAACGTACCGTTATGCATTCCATAACTTGGGAGTAGTCGTCGCCGCCGTCGTCGTCGTCGTCGTCGTCGTCGCCGTCAGACGTTGACGTTGAAATGAATGAATGAAAATATGCAGGCAACGTGATTCGCAGCGACGCGACGCCATATTGCTGTGGGTGGGGTTGGGGGGAGGTGAACGTAACCGTTAGCAATGGCATTGCCGTTAACGTTACCGTTACCTCTTTTCCGCTTTTCCACCATCAGGGGATAAAGAGAGTGAGAGCACGGGCACCATATTCGCATTTGCTGGTTTGGTATTTTCTGTCGAGTTCAGCGTAAATTCATTCATTTCCACTTGAATTTACAATTATGCGAAACTGTTGTTGAATGGGTTTTGACTTGCTCGGAGGTTTTACGGATTTGGTTTGAGGAGATTTCGGGAGGGGACTTTCGTAGCTGTTGGTAACGCTTATGCATTTGCATTTGCATTCCCCAGCAACAGCAGCAGCAGCAGCAGTAGTAGTGGCAGCAGTCAGAACTTCACTGTTTAGCTTTTAATTAACTATGGAGTGAGTTCTGAGGAACTGCATCTAGAGCATACACACACACACACATACCTACATATACAGCTCTCTCTCTTTCTCTCTCTCCGAGCTGGAAGGTCCCCAATTGGCAATTGTCAACAGCAGCTGCTAAAAGTTTGCTACCCAAGCGTTGCCAAGGTGCGTAACTGGGTATGAATTTTCTGCATGATGCGATTTATTTACTGAACGCTTATGGAATGTAATTAACTTTATGAGGTGTACATGCAAAAGCTGTCAAGGGCGATTAAATGTTTGTGCATTTATGCTGCTAAGCATTGGGTGGAAGGAACTCAGTTTCAGCATGAATTACATTTGAATTTGCTTAGCAGCTGGAATTGAGACTTGTTTCAGCACTTAGTCAATCAATGGCCATAAACTTTGAGTGAAGCACTCTATCAGTTGATGAGGCTCGAGTCCTTTGAAAGCAAGGCAAGTGAATGTGTATGCTGTATTATTATTATAAGTCTATTCATTATGATGGATATAATTACTTATATATTTGTTCTAGTTAATTGCTCTTTATGAATTATAATTGAAGTAAGTGAACAGGCTTATAGAAAATTAATGTCTTGTATATATTATTATTATATAGAGTTCTCGTTTTAGTCATAAATATTTATTTTGTTTTTATTATACTTAATTATTGCACCCATTCCTATTTATTTTTTTTTATTAATTATTGAAATTAATATTTATATATATACATATATGAAATGTTTTCTGCAGATATAATCTTAAGTTCATTGAAAAGCCTTACCATACCTTATCCCCTCTAGGAATCTTTACTTATATTGTAATATCCTTTCATAGAAACCCTGTCGCCTACTACTACTACTAATCAACCATATGTTCTTATGCCATTTTCATTTTTTGTAATAAAAACTTTTCGAGCGCAAAAAATAAAAAATAAAAAAACTTTTCAAATACCACTTCACGTGGGTGGTAAAACTTCGTTTCTTCCCTTTTTATATGGTTGCCCGACTGCAGGGGCACTTCAGCTAGTTGCCAGTGCAATTCAATGTCATATCCTTGAAAACTTAAAAACAGCAGAGCATGGAATACGGCTAAGAAAAAAGGCCAACAAATAGAAAACGAAGAAGGGGGAAAAAATATCAACGGCAAACGGAAAGTTTTGTTATTGAAAGTTCATCGATGAATGCGAAATACAGTTGAGCAAAAGCTCGGTGCCAAATCCAGTTTTCAGTTTCCCGGAATACTCAACCGAACGAGTTGCGAGCTGCGAGTTGCAGTTGTGAGCCTCCTGTTTCCTTGCGGCTGCTTACAGTCCATTTCCTTGTAGCCCGTTTCACAATTTTCAATTTCTTTTGTATATATGCGATGCCACATTGTAAGCAGTTGCCACCGCCACCGGCTCTGGTGCTCTGAGCCTCTGTGTCGTCGACTAATTTCCTCGGCCAAGTCCAGACGTCGTCAGCGGCATATCCTGCCAGCCAGGCAGCCAGGCAGCCATCCAGGCAGTCCAGAGCTGGGCTGTCTGCTTAGCCCAACATTTGTATGTGGGCAATGCGTTTGGGGAGGCGGCAGTCGTTCCGTTGTTTGCATTTTTATTTGTATTTCATTTTCAATTGACTGACAGAGTCCGTTGCCCGCCTACCTGGCGGCTACCTGGGCGCAAAGTTCAGGTATGCGCTTTGTGTGCTCCAGTCCATTCATCAGAGTTATTTACTTTTTAACGAGTTGATTTCATTCAATTTGTTTGCCCAGGTTTCAGTGGCTATTACTGACAAACAGAGCTCTCCTAGTAGCTGGCAGAAAAAAGGGTTGCCACCACATTGCAATACACTTGAATATGTATTTTTAGACGCACTTTAAGCTGCAGTTTGTTCTATTAAAGCTGTCTCTCTCTCTGTATATAAATATGTACATCTAGATATATATTCAAGTTTGTGTGTATGTGTGTGTGAACAAGTGAATCGCCAAGTCGGCAATTTCTTTCATTTTCCGATTTTTGTTTTTCTTTGGCCTTTGGATACCCTGTACTGAGGAAGAACTTAAGAAAGGGCTTATAAGTTTTTAGTATGCATATAAAAATAAAAAAAAAAATAAAATTCTACTATATATGTTAACTAATAATGAGTTAGTTTAATATTTAAGAGCTTGGTATAGTTTAAAATTCACTACAATGTTTATATTAATAAATATATCTATCAACTTAGTAATATATAACAATTATAAAGATAAGTACTTGTTCTATATATAATACTTTTCTTTATTTATGACCAATCAATATATCTGACTCGTCTTAGGGTATTCATATTCTAGACTTTCTCACAGCCTAACTTTCAGCCAAGCACACTTAACTTCACAATTTCATGCTTCCTGTTTGTTTTTGCTACATCCTCGTCTTTTGGAAGTCAAGTTCTTGTGCCTCTTGGCGTTTTTTCGGTTTCAATAAATATTTTCGCAATGCACAAATTAAAAATTCTTCGCAATAATAATAGAACACGACCATAGAGCGGCGCACACTCAACCCGCAAGCTGTCAGAGCAGTGCGTTGTCTATTTAACAACAAAACTTTTTATGCCCTTAGCCTTCCGATAACAGTAACAACAACAACAGGAACAACAACAACAGCAAAGCCATCGAACTGTCCCGACCCTGCCAATTCGATTGAAATTGTTGCCAGTGGCTATGATTTTATGAGTATTGCGTTTGTCTTGTGCCAAGAGTTCAAAATATATAATTAAATTGTTAGCATTTTGCAGATGCTTTTAAAATATGATCAAAAATTAACCAAGAAACTTGTTTAAGTGGCAAGTGGTGCCATCTGTTGGTCGATAGCGGCGGGGAGAGAGAGAGAAAAACTAAAAATTACAACAAAATATTGAAGAAATTTGCAGCGTAAATGAACTAAATTTCTGGGCTATTGGGGAATATAAGGAAAGGAAAAACTTGTAAGTTTTTCATGGTGGCGCCATCTGTTGAGCAGTTGCTGGAACTCAATTACGCAAGCGAAACCACAGCGATGCTGAAAATATTCAAAGAGTTTGCTTTGCTAAAATTCCATATTAAATTTGAAACTAATAAAAGCATGCTTAAGAAATTTATTTGCTCCGCTCAAGTAGATATTCAGTGTTTATATTAGTTTTTGTGAATGTCCAAACTATTGTATTACATTCTACATAAAGATAGATATATATATGTATGTATATATGCCCTGGCTTCCCCTCTTGCAGCTCCATTTATGCCTTCATCAGATCGTTGACGTGCTTCTCTAAGCAGACCATAATTTGGAACGCCGTGTCACAGGGATTGGCACCGGTGGTACTGCCGCAGGCTTCCAAAGCCTTTTCCGCCTGCCCCTTCATGGGTCCGTCCTTGAAGAACTCCATTATCTTGTCGTCTTGTAGCACTCCTTTGCTATTCATGAAGCCCAGCTTGGCCATGACGCACTGCGAGGCACACTTCACATTGTCCTTGACATCCTCCAGCTTCACCTCACCAGATTTCAGACCATTCAGCTCTTGCTCCGTAACGCCATTCTCCGTCATGCAGCTGGACACAACCTGCTGGGTCATTTCGGGCTTCTGAGCCTAAATTCAAATATATGAGATTTAATCTGTAAGCTTCATTCAATCGATTCGAACTTACCATCACATAGCTAATCAGGCAGCTGAAAAGCAAAATGCATGCAAATCTAGACTTCATTCTGAGCTTGTTTGTATCACACTAATTTGCCCTTAGCTCGAACTGCACTTTTATAGTCATTCAGCGAATTTTCTAACTGCACATTTCATGCTTTACTTCAAATGATGATGTGGATCTAGAGCTAGTTACGCTCGTTTTCACATACGAGTACAGTGGCTGCAATTGTCACTGCCATGGCCAGAGTGTGTCGTAATGCTCGAGTGTAATTAGTGTTGAAATCATTTGATAAGCGTGTCAGATAAGCGACAAAGTCGGCTTAGACTAATTGACTAAATACAATTTGTAAAGTTATTACAAAACATGATTTGATCCTATGTTACTAAAATACAATTTGTAGAAAGGGCAGCGAATTTTAATAATTTTTATAAACTTTTAGTATTCTATTTGAGTAGGAGAATTTTTTTTATAGCTAGAACTTAAGCTGGGATTAAAGTTTCGTTAATAGAATGAAAGTCTATCATTGTAAATTCTATTATTATTTGATTATGCTCCAATAACCATTAACTTTATATTACTACCTGTACACGTTATAAACGCATAAAATAAAATTTATATAAAAAAAAAAGTATCTTACGCTATATTAATTTATTTAATTTTTTTTCTTTAATTTAACAATTTACAATAAATTGTAAGTCTACAAAATATTAGAGTTACACAAAATATATTAAAATTTTATATTTTTATAAATTTTATATATTTCTTTTTCAAAGGCTTACATTATAAAAAGTATATTTGTATATATTTTCTATTTTGTTTGTATAATATATTATCATATCATATCATAATTTAAAATTAATTACTTTCATATTTTTTATATGATATATATATATTATGTATTATTATATATTCAACATTCTCTTCCCTATCCTTTTCTTAAAATAATTCTTTTCAATTGCTAAATTGGAAATTTTCGAATTGATCAATTTTATGCGTTTTATGGCTACCGTTTAGATTTGATATATTATATAAATTAAAAAGTTCTTCATTCATTTCTAGATTTATAATATATTCTATATAATATACGGTACTTTTATAATTATATTATATTTATATTTTATATATTATTGTAATTTATTAAAGTTTTTTACAAATTCATTGCAAAACAATTTCATCGTCTGTTCAACAAATTTATTTTTTGTTTTATGTATTTTATTTTATTTTTAATTATTGCCCAAATTAGTTTAATTATAAGATTAAAATCTACAAATAATAGATATTCTGCCGAAATACATTTGTTACAGTCAAATGCCCCGGGGCTGTCCATTGAACCGCAATAAAATGCACGCTTTTCAGTTTAGTGTTTTCCCACTAAATATCTAGATTACAGTTGGTTTATGTATTTTGTTTTTGTCTTTTTGCAAACATTTTATAAACATGCAAAAAGCGTTTGGGCATATTAATTAAAAACGTTTGATTGTTATAATTCATACATTACAATTATCTATTTTTTCCCACCATTTCTATCTTTTCTGTGAGCGACGCTTCATTATTTTTGCATTAATGTAACGTTAATTGCATTTTGACGATTTTGTGTTAATTGCCTTCGCATTTGCTGTTGTCGTGTTTATTATAATTTAGTTAGTTATTTGCAATATTATTATTAATAATTTGCCGGTATTGAGAGGGTTTTCGCATTGCGTTTAACATGAGTTTCAGGCACTAATTGAAATCCTTTTAGAGTAATTAGGCAAAATTGCAATGCAATGCCGCAAGAGATGAGAGCTTGCTGCCTTCGCACGTTCTCGCTTTGTGGTCCAGTTAGAAAAACAAACTAATTTAGTAAATTACTATTTAGTGGGCACCTTTTATATATTTGGCCGAGAAATACGATGTTGGCCACCTGGCCGCAGTTTTGGCCACATACAAAGGTCATTTTCGGGCTTTGAAGTTGGGCTTTGAAATGCGCCAAAGGACATTTAACGAATGGCATGCTTTGTGCTTGTGTGGGTGTGTGTGTGTGTAGGGTGTGAGTTAGTGGTGAATACAACACCCACACATACATACACGCATACATATATATTGCAATTGCTGTCGGAACATCAAAGCAATGCGAGTTTTCCAGTTGACTTCATCAGTAGATTGTGTGAAGTATGCCAAAAATGTGTTGTAAACTGTCCAACGAAAACCTACTTTTTGTGTACCCTGTAAAGTATGTAAAAAGGGTAGTTTATGCAAAAAAGTTGAATAAATAAATTTTTAAAAAAGAGTAAAGCTAAAAACTTTTAAGCAAAATTAACAATTGATTCAAATGAAGTTTGTTCTCTCGTTTTTTTTCTATCACAGAGTATTTTATATTCTATCAACTATCACACATCTACTTCGCGCTGTTGGCCTTTTTGGGCAGTGGAACTTAAAGTAATGCCATAAAATTGAATGCTTAACAAGCTCTTTGGCTGCGAGGCACGTGCTGAGCCAGCTCTCTGGACTTTGGTGTTCACGCGATTTCTTACACGAATCAAATGTATTGGAGAGTAAAATAATATTGGCCAAGCTTTTAAAATACATTTTACATGCACTTCAATTTAATTGACGCGTGGCCTCGTCTTCCTATTGCTCGAGCGAAATTTGAGATAACGAACTTTTCGCAGAGTGAGCCATTCAATTAGTTTAACACCCCCAAGGTATTAAAACTGGGCTGGCATCGATGGGGGTTACGGAGTGCTGGCTCAACAATTGCTTCTCATCTTACATCAGAAAGGGGCCGGAGAGATACTTGAAAAGCTACAGAAGCAAGTGAAGGAAACTCGATATGCAGTTAAAAACGAAGCTTGGTCAAAAATCGCTGGCAGCAAAATGTGGGTGTGGCTGCATATGAAAATGGATATGTAGAAACATTGTAATTACCTATTAGGGCTGGAAATGTTTGCGAACCTAGAAGCATATAATTATTGCCGGGCAAATAAACTCTATCACATGCATTTTTAGTTAATTTTAATAGGCATCAAGTGACAAGTTAATAAAATTAAGTGAATACTTATGTGGTATCAAATGAAGAGCGTGAAGAAACGTCTTAGTTGTTGTGGGTCTTGTATACCTGAGCAGCAGAATGGCCAAAAAATGTGTAATATAATATATGGTTTCTTCATTTTCTCGTATTTGATAATAAATATAAAAAATAATATATACAAACATATAGTATATAGTATTAATAATAAATTAATTCATTCCGCTTTAAATACTTCAGAGATTCATAATTAAAATAAAGTAACATTCGAAGCAAAGAAATTCTATAAATAAAATATATTTTTATTATAATACAAGCGACCATGTAAGAATATTCTAAAAGAACCTCAAGTAAAATATTCCACAATATAAATTCTGAAATAAAACATTAAATATGTGTATTAAAACCCCTGTGACCTATTTTAATTTATATTTTTTATAGGTATATAAAGCAAATTTATTTCTATATCTTTTATGTCGCTTGGAAATTGAGTTGTTGCCTGTCGTTGTTAGGCCACAGAAATTTGCACAATTTACAATGCTTACCTAGCAAAGCATTCACAAATCCCCTACTGTTCCCGCTCGTTGTCTCCCTCTCTCGCTCCTGCTCTCTCCCGCTCTGTTTCTAGCGCCCGATCTGTGAAAAGCCTGGCACATATTATGGGCGGCAAAAAAGAACATAAATACAAAATGCAGCCAGGCATAAGAAGCTACCACAGACCATTGACAACTACGTGAATACCTATGCCAACACCCCTCATCGCCGCCCCTCTCACCGCTCTCCGCCCTCCCCTTCGACACATGTACATGAGCCCCGCTTTGCCCTGAAGGCCCTTTAAAATAGCAAACTAGACCGGGCAATGGCTCCACACTGGCTACGTAATATGTCCTGGGGCTTAGTTGGCATGTGTTGCTGTTGTTGTTGCTGATGCTGTTGCAGCCTCGATGAGGCTATTGTCTGACTGAGGGCTTTACAACTCATAAACAGCAGCCCCTCAGCCGACTAGTAATAACAGTTTAAGCTCGAGGCACTGCCCGAAAATTGTCCACATCTCGTTGTTTAATTTTTTTCTTCTTATATATATGAATATACCCTAACAAAGATTGACATTGCTAGGTTCTTTAAACTAAATACTTTTTCTCATTAGTACATGATACCAATCAAACTAGGAATTGGCAAATCAATAAATATAAAATAATTTACGAAAAAAAATTTTTTGTTTGTTTTTATTTTCGAAAATATTTTATCAGACCCTAATCTTCGTGATCATTCAAATATTCTCTCTCTCTTTTAAGCATAAGTATATAATCTGGATTTAATACGAAAGTATCAAGATACATACGAAATCATATTTCTGCATATAAAAAGAAAAATTGAGCATCCATAAGCTTTATTCCTTTGGGATTTTTATTTTTTTTTTTTGCAATATGGGTTGATTCTTGATTCTTACAGATAAAACCATGACGAAAGTTTATATATAAAAAAAAAAAACATTATTATATATATACTTCGAATACTTTAAATCGGATTACTGCTCTATCATCAATCGATCTAAACAGTTACAAATCTGATTGAATGACAATCATTATCAAATTTATCTCAGTAAGCGTATTCACTCTTCTACAGTCCTCGCATCTGCTGGCCCTTTTTTATAACAAGCATTTTTACATGTGCTAAAAAAAAAAAAAAAAAAAAACAAGTAAAGCTCCAGCACTCCCACCATTCCAATTTCAAGAAAAAGAAACCCGCGGCATTCCCCAAATTTTTTGTCGGCTTGGCTGCATGTGCGTTTATGACTTCATAATGAAAGCTAGACAGGAGCAGGACGATGACTTTGGGGAGGCATTACCAGACCAGACCAACGCAGAGCCCCGAGCCCAGAGCTGCATTGCAGCGTCTGAGGGGGGATGACTTGGCTTGGGTTGGCTTGGGCAGGCTTGGCTTGCTGTTGTTATGGATTTGCGTAGGCGTTGCGTTAACATGCGACTAAGTCCTTTTATATCCTGCAGCATTCGCTGTGGCCTTAGCTCTGGCTACACACATATCTTTAGCCTTAGACTATCATCAATTGCTGTCCCCATGGTGTAGTTAGGCTGGCCGGCAGCTCCC